CCCCCCCCCCCCCCCTCTCCCCCCTCAAACACCCCTCTGCCCCGGCCCCACCCCGGCGCGCACGCGCGGCCGAGCGCGGCGGCGACCCGGGACGCTGCCCCCCCTCCCGACCCCGCGCCGCAGGTCGACATCCCCGAGCGGCCGCCGCTGAGCGAGGAGGTTTGGGGAGATAGGGGGAGATAGGGGGAGAGATCGCATCGCATCTTGCCCGCGCTGCCGTCTCCGCTCGCCCACGCCGCACTGCACAGCACTTGGCCGTTGCCGCTCAGCGTTGAGCCCGCCGCCGCCGTGCGCGCGTCCCACACCTCCAGAGTATCGAATCCAGCGTGGGTTCAGGTCCCGTGTGTGGTGTGGTAGGAGCTCGCCGCGGTCCGCGCGTCCATCGAGGAGCGGGAGCGCATCTCGGCGGCCTACGAGGCTGGCGAGGCGGCGACGAGGGCGGCGGCGGCCGAAGCTGAGGCGGTCGAGAAGGCGCGCGAGATGACGCGAGATTTCCCGAGATTACCCGAGATTACCCGAGATTACCCGAAGCTGAGGCGGTCGAGAAGGCGCGCGAGATAGAGAGGACGGGGAAGGGCAGCCAGAGGCTCGGACTTGGGCACACACACACACACACACACACTCACACCACGCACACACACGCACACACACTCACAACCGGCACTAGGCGCGCGCCGTGGTCGCCACCAAGGGCGCCGGCTGGAAGGTCTCTCCGGCCGACTTTGAGAGGATCGCGGCTGCCTAGAAGCGGAACATCTCCCCGTATCTCCCCGCATCTCGTGCCCTAGAAGCGGAACATCTCCCCGTATCTCCCCATATCTCCCCATACCTCGTGCCCTAACAAGCGGAACATCTCCCCGTATCTCCCCATATCTCCCCATACCTCGTGCCCTAACAAGCGGAACATCTCCCCGTATCTCCCCATGTCTCCCCATACCTCGTGCCCTAACAAGCGGAACATCTCCCCGTATCTCCCCATATCTCCCCATACCTCGTGCCCTAACAAGCGGAACATCTCCCCGTATCTCCCCACATCTCCCCGTATCTCCCCACATCTCCCCGTGTCTCTCCACATCTCCCCGCATCTCCCCATCTCTGCCACATCTCCCCGTATCTCCCCCCATATCCCCCCCCGTACCTCCCCGTACCTCCCCATATCTCGCGCCTAGAACCAGAATGACGCACTCTTGTCTCCAAAGCATCGAGAGGGCACACACTCCGCTGCAATCGGCGCGTAGCCCGCCATGTTCATATATGGCGCACTCTTGTCTCCCCCCATATCTCCCCATATCTCCCCCCATATCTCCCCCCGCCGTGTTCATATATGGCTGCAATCGGCGCGTAGTCCGCCGTGTTCACTGCATCCGTACCCCTCTCGTACACATGAAGTGCTCTGGACACTCTGCACGACACCGCCGCCCTGGGCCCCGAGGCCGGCGCCTCCACCCACGCACACGCGCATGCACATGCACATGAAAAAGCACATGCACAAGCACACGCACATGCACACGCACATGCACATGCACATGCACAACATGCACATGCACAAGCACATGCACAAGCGCATGCACAAGCACATGAAAATGCACATGAAAATGCACATGAAAATGCACATGCACACGCACAAGCACAAGCGCATGCACAAGCGCATGCACATGCACAAGCACACGCACATGCACATGTTGCAGGATCCTGTCGGCCGCTCGCTCGAGCGCTGCCGGTAAGGCGGAGGCGGCGGAGGCGGCGACCGCGGCGCTGCTCGACGAGCTGCTTGCGGCGGCGGGAGGGTCGCTTCTGGTGCGGGCGCTTGTGCCGGACACGAAGGCGCGCCGCACATGTCCCCATATCTCCCCCATATCTCGCCATATCTCCCCATATCTCGCCATATCTCCCGAGACCAAGGCGCGCCGCATATTTCTTCCACATCTCCCCACACCTCCCCACACCTCCCCATATCTCCCCACGCCTCCCCACACCTCCCCACACCTCCCCATATCTCCCCACATCTCCCCACATCTCCCCCACACTCCCCCACACCTCCCCACACCTCCCCGCACCTCCCCACACCCCCCCACACCTCCCCACACCTCCCCACACCTCCCCACACCTCCCCACACCTCCCCACACCTCCCCACATCTCCCCCATACCTCCCCCCCATCGCCCCCACATCTCCCCCACATCTTTCGCGGGTGGGCGCGCCGCGGATCGCCGCCGCCGCCGGCCCCGTTCCGCTGTGCGCGGCGTCTCTTCACGCCTCCCAGCTGTGAAACAGGTGCGCGAGGAGCCGCCGCCATGGGCCCGCGCTGACGCACCACACGGCTACCTCTCGGCGCTGCTGCCCTGCGGTGCGCGGCCGTCGTCCTCTTTTTCTTTTCTACGGCCCCTTCCTTGTCTTAGGCGCTGCTGCTCTGCGGCGCGCGGCCGCTGCATTTCCTTTCTACGGCCCCTTCCTTGTCTTAGGCGCTGCTGCTCTGCGGCGCGCGGCCGCTGCATTTCCTTTCTACGACGCCTTCCTTGTCTTAGGCGCTGCTGCTCTGCGGCGCGCGGCTCGCGCAGAGCATCGCCGCGGCGAGGAGTGCGGAGGCACTACCGCACCACCCACGGGGCTGAAGCCACACTGGGTTCGGTACTCTGGGGGTATGGGACTAGGCGAGCATCGCCGCGGCGAGGGGTGCGGAGGGGGGCGGCGGACGCGGGCTCGTGCCGTCGCAGGGGCGGAGTCGCCCGTTAACGAGTGATAGTCACATCTTTCGCTGGTATGTTGACA